TGCTACAGGCGTCCGTACATTAGGAGAATAACTCAGCCGGACTGAGTCGGTAATCTTATTGGATCAGCTGATTTAGAATCGCTTGTCCGATTCGACTGTGTTTATGTATATGCTCAGTAGTTCTTTCAGCTAGGTGTCGAGTCATCTATCTGACCTAGTATGTGAACTGGCACCTTATCTTTGATTTTTGTATTGAGCAATCGATTACGAGTGAATTGGGATCCCAGTTATACGATATTGAACGATCTACTTTTGACCGTTAGTTTCCCCTTTATCGTTTCGGAACAGTGTCGCCCCTGGATAGTAGCTTGGTGTAAATGGGTACTTTCGAAGGTGAAGAGATTTCTTCCTTCTGTTGTGAAAGGCTACATTGTGTATCTTTACATTGTGTGTTCACTGGACTAAGATCTTATCAAAATAATTGGTTCCGTTAAAAAGGAATACGCTGGATTCTTTATCCAGTCAGGTTATTACCACATTAGTTCTGTCTCGCGGGAGTCGTAATACCTGTTTATGCTTTCGTGTGATGGGCTGTTTGTGGTGTATGTGGCTGTGTTGATAACAAGCGCTCACCAATTCAGTCTCAAATTTATCTAGCTTAGACACTAACTGAGTGGTCTGGCTGAATATATCCCCGAATCTCAAGCTGGTCCGTCTTGTAACATGGTGCACTAAACTTTGTGACCGTCGATAACTATTTGAGTAAAGTATCAGCAAGTACTACATTCGAAAAATTATCAACATATCAGTTTACTCTGCTAGGAAAAGCGCTGTGTGCCTTTGCATCTTTAAACGGCTTACGTAACTTACATTGCCTCTTTACTCTCTCTCTCTCTGCCGGTAAGATGGCTAAGTGGTTAAGGCGTGAACCTAATGACCGAAGTGTCCGTTGTTCAAAACCCAACACGGCTTCCGATGGCTTCTGTATAGGCTTGGGCAACCTGGCAGAAGCTCAGCTCTCATTCAACCATCGGTTAGTGTGGCGGCTAGGTAGCGAAAGGGTGAACATTCTTTTTAGTACAAGGCACCAAACTCGTCGAATCGCTAAATTTTGTCTATGGTTACTTTTTGCAGCGCATAATTCTACCCACCAATAAGTCTATTGATCTTGGTCCAAAATGAATGAGGAATATGGTGTTAGGTATTGTGAAGCTTTCAGGTAGAGACTCTCAGTAGCGTTTCGGGTCAGCATTCCTGAATAAAATCGCCTACTCTCTTGGTAACCTCATGTCTGATTGCAAAGCTCAAGTGAGGATTGGATCATCAGATTACGAGAGGATACATGCACACTTTAAGTCCCACGCTGGCGCATAAGACTGGGTGTTGCAAACCATTGTTTGCGTCAAATATAAATGGAATGTTTTAACGTGCGGTAAACAATTGGCACTTAAATCAATCAAACGGAGGCTACAGGTAGTCGCTGTTGGTCCTCCAAGGCAAGATCGCTGCTTTCATATGATGTTTTTGATGACCAGTTTGTTGTTGAAGTACAATGACGAACGCCCCTGTTACTGCTGGAAAGACTTGGTGGCACTTCATACATCACGCTCAACGACTTCACTGGATTAATCTGGAAGCTTGTATAGATCAGGTGAGCTACAGTCGTGACCAGTTGTGCTTCAATGAAGCGGTGACCAGCCTGGTTAGTGCAGAGAAGTTTCATTTACTTTGCCTGATAGTTTCAGAATATTGACATGCTTTTCCAACCACCAGTTGTGATACTCATCATCTATCCGCTAAGTCACTATATGATATTGCATGTTTGTCCAGAAACGTCTTAGTTATTTTGTTTTTTTTTAATTAAGACGCCAAAGACTAATTCATTCTTCAACCGATGTTCCGCAAAAACCTCCCCTGAACTTTGGAACTCTAAATTACTGACCAGTGTGTTAATGTGTTGTGAAATTTCTTCTGATAACAACCGACACATCATCCACAAGTAAATAATCCGACATCTCCCGTGTTTGTTTTTATAAATTGTGTTCAAACTCCGAAACTCACCGGCAAATTGTAACCAGCTGGATCACTCGTCTTAGCACCTGCTGAGCTGTTCCGAATGGTCTCCTATTTCTAAATCCAGTTTTTTCTAGTCTGCTTCGTGCCATGCGGAAGGATATCACAAATCATGAATCAGTTTTTTTTTCTAGTCTACTTCGTACCATGCGGAAGGATATCACAAATCATGAATCGATAGCACAAAAAGTTTGTGGCCGCAACAAAACTTCGGCGTAGTTTCGATGTAGCAACCAATTCTAGATTCGTGCGACAGTTCCTTTGTTTTAACTAATCATAGCCGTACAGTTTTAGTGTCAGATACAATTCACACCCTTATTCAGTAGCTTGCCGTTGTTTGTGACGCTGAAACGTGCCCTAACAGTCCAGATTTTTTATGTTTACCTAAGGACAGTAACGTGTTTTTCTGTGGTCAGAGACAGCGTTAGTCGGTGCGGAACTTACAGAACGAAATGAACATGATTCCTTAGGCCGAAGCTTTAGATGGGAAGGTAAAACTGAAACTCAGCACCTCAAGAAAACAAATGAAATTGTATGGTCATAAGAGTGTTGGTAACATCAGAAGCTATAAAACCGTATAGTTTGTTACCGATGTTGAAAGTCAACGTTACCTTGTAAGCCGGAAAGACGTTCTCATAAAGCTATCCATAATTGGCATCGGTGGACAGGGAAAAAATACGTTGGATCATAATTCAAGCGAAATTCGAGCAGCAATAATTTTGTGTTTGTGTTTGTGTGTGTTTGTGTGCTTTGAGAAACTTCGTGCTACCTTGAATTCACAGGTTGTGTATGCTCAAAGTCATGAGACAATAAAAACCTACAGGGAGTGAAATCAACCGTGTTGTTTCAAGGATATACAGTTTACGCAAACTACGTTTGCTTTGATCGTCATTCCTTGGAACCTCTCATGCAAAATCGCCTTATTCAGGTAATCCAAGATATTTAGCTTCATCTATGCAGCCATCTGTCGTGAAAAAAAGTGTCCAACGCAGTTTTCCATATTCGTACGATATTTGAATACTCTTAAAAATCTTGAGGAAGGGAACGTTGTGGAGAGGGTCATCCTAGTAAGGTCAAAAGTATGGTAGGATACGTTGGTGTCAAATTCAACTCTGTTCAAAAATTTCCGTACTGATGGAGCTAAAAATGTTCCAAAGGGCTCAAAAGTGACTGACCGGGAATCCCCTTGATTTGAACGAAGAGTTTATATCCCATTACCTTCAAGAAAGGAGCATATGTAGATTAAGATTTAGTGTCTCAAAACGGGAGACTAAAGCCCCAGCGACATGGGATATTTTGCTTCTGGCGGAGCTCATCAGACGAGCGTAGCTGGATACGATATGTGACAATAAAATTCCCAGCTTTAGTCCAATCTCTTGTTTTCACATCCAAGCACCCCCTAAGTCTGCTTGCTGGATATTGATGTCTAGGCGAGGTCAGAACTCTAATCGTTCGTCTATAAATAAAATCACCCAAAAATTCTAAAGCTGGTTAGCAAGGTAATAACGTGCTGTCGGGACATCAAAGCATTTTCTCGACGAAATGTCCATAAAGAACAGACAAAGTTACCCAAGTGCCCAGACAGTAGCCTAAAAATCATGTGATACAATTTTTAGAACTATTAGAAAGCGTGTTAATTTTTACGTCCGGAGTCACATTCAGGATACGCCTCTTTAAGTAACTTATCTCGAACTAAATCATCCTTGCGTGCCTATGGGGACATGTGCCGGTTATCGATAGGACATATGTAGATTTCTGTAATATTTTCATCAGTTATACGCCATTACGTTACGGTACTAATCAAAATGTCCTCTTAATATAAAATATGAAAAATATACGGGACTTTTAAAGCATCGGGGCATAGAAAATCTAAAGCAAAGACCAGAGAGAGCATCCGCTTCTAAGTAGTAAACAAAGGAATCTGCAACTACCAAGTGCAGCTTCTGAAACTGCTCGTTGACGCCGCATCAAACAATGGAGATTACAAGGAACTACCTGATACCGAGGATGACATATTCGCTCATGCTCGGCCAGGTCCACCAAAACACGCTCAAAATTCTGAACAATTACATCCAGGAAATCTACTCGCGGCTGACCACGTCTGCCGAAGTTTATCCCAAGCAGTCATGTTTACGCTGGCAAACACCATGAGGGACTCGGTATCTCAGGCCTGAGTTTGGTCAACCTAATGCAGCAGAAAACGCGTATGGAAAAGGTTCTGTCCACCCAGTCCCGAGTAATAATCAGTTTTGTCAGTGATTTCGCATTTGGTAAAGCTGATCGGGATCTCAGCCTTCCGATCCCAGGCTAAAGTGAGTGCTGGAAGAAATTGTGACTGCTTCGGGCTAGAATCGCCTTACAGTTTTGAGGATCGTGGCTTGCAAGAGTTGATATTCAGCTCTGGTTCAACCTGCTTAGGACGAGAGTTAGAAGCGTCTGCCGAGATCACGGTGCCATGGAAACTGTGGTCGGCCGGAGAGTTTGGTGCGTATTCTGTAGTTCTGCTAGATAACACGTGATGCATAATGTAATCGTCACAATTTGGTTGCAAGGGAACTCCCAAAATTTCTGGGATACACTGTCTTTGAGGAACCTTTAATCAAACCCGACCTGATCAATTTTTGGCAGTGCCCAGCAACTGTGATAGACGTTAACATAGTCTCGGATGAGCGCGCAGCATGTGTATAAAATGAAAACGAGAAGAGTTAAGGCACTGATGGTTGCTTGTTTGCTGTCAACTCAGCCCTGTTTGCCGTCGATGGTGATGTTGATTTTTTAGTCCACCAGTCGATGGTCAGGTAACTCACCATCCTCAGTCTTCCAAGGCTGCTGTTGGACTGGGACTTCCCAAGGTCAAAGTCGGTGAATTGTGTGCTGCCGACCGTCTAGGGCTCTATACGTACTTACAACACTTCTTTGTCGTGATGTATGGCGTTGAGTGTTCATTCTTGCCCTCTCACGGGTCATCCTGTATGACGGACACCTACCTGATGTGCGTCTTGGCTGTGGCATTGCTTAGTGCGTCTTGAAGAGGATTCAGAATTGTTTGTCCTTTCTTCAAATGCTGGTTGGTACATGTGATTTTATACCAAAGATTTTTACATACGCTAGAGGCCAGTTTGTCCGACTGGAAACTGTTGATGTCTGGACTCTGCATGGAACATTTCTCTCGTTTTACCTAATGTCCCATCGTACATCCTTCCACATCTGTCGTTCGTACTCATTTTTTATGTTTGTGATCGCGATTTTCAAAAATAAACGCTATTAGTAGTCTTAACCCGATGACTGACCTTCAGTAAAGAATGGTGCGCACTTAATACAGGCATGTCTCGGCATTCAAAGGCAGAGCTCTCCACAAATAGTAAG